GATGAGACAGTAACTAAGACAGTGGCGGTGAAGACAGGGCAAAAGTGCCATTGCAGGCTCTTATCATTAAAGCTCTAAGAGGTCTGCCATCCTTGAAACACAAATAGCAATGTAAATATGCTGCCAGAAAACTAGAACTCTACACCCAAAGCAAAATAAACAAAAACTGCTGGAAGAAATAAAAGCAGTCACAACCATAGATCAGGGAAAGACAGACACAAGGGGCCCTGACTTAACAGTACTTAAAAAGGACTATTTAACTTTGTTAAACTATATATAGTGAAAAATAAATAAGTCAACTATATACAGTCGACCCTCAAGTTACAACTGGCCTCACGTACAAACAACTCAGTTTATAACTGGACTTCTAGGTTGAACACACAATCAAAGTCTTCAGTTACAACCTGATTGCCGGCTGCTTGTGCACAAAGACTCCTGGTGCCAGAAAAGATATGTAAGTGTACATAAGCATCAGTCTAAACCCAGATGGGCACGTTTGTGGCTATGATTTCGGTCAGTGCTTTATATTTGCTACCAAAAGGCGTCCAAAAAGCTAAAAAAGAAGTGAAGGAAGGAAAGCATGGCAAAGAAAGCCATCACAATAAAAAGAAGAAGGAAGAGTGTGTGTGACCCATCTCGGTACTATGCACAGCGTGCTGGATTCCATCATCTCTACATTCTTTTACAGAGAAGAGATTTGTAAAAGGGAGCTAGTGTTGCTAAAGGTGTTACTCCGATTAGTAAGTTACCATCAACAGTGCTAGACAAGGAAGGAAGGCTATTATAAGTGTGGATAAGCAACAGGCAGATGGCAGGTTGTGGCCTGAGTCTGTAATTTGTCAAAAAGCTAGGACTATAAATGCAGATCTTGTAAGGAATAATCCATCGACGAGTAATAATGGTGAAACATTTCATGCCTGTAAGGGGTGGTTTCAAAATTTTAAAGTGAGAACTGGGGTTTATAACATAACTAGGCACAGTAACGCAGCCAGTGATCATAAAAGAGCAGCTGAAAACCACATAAACCACTTTGAAACAATGACACAGAGAGATGGTTTCAGCTGTCATCAAGTTTTTCACTGTGATGAAACTGGTCTTCTCTGGGAGCAGATGCCCAGGAGAGAATATACTACTCAGGCAGAGAAGAAAATGCCAAGCCACAGCCTGTGAAGCCTTATTGTTATGTGCCAATTTGAGTGGTGACCTCAAGATAAAGCCTCTCTTGGGTTATCCCTGGAGTGTTCAGAAAACATAAAGTCATGAAGAATAGGCCGAGGGTCATGTGGAGATCTAACACGAAAGGCTGGGTAACAAGAGTACTTTTTCTTGAGTGGCTTGGGAAGGCTTGCTGTCCTACTGTTAGGAAATATGTAGAGGACGAAGGTTTACCACTCCGGGTTCCCCTCACCATGGACAGCGCTCCTGCCTTCTCCCTGAGATTCGGAAGAACTGGCTGAAGAACTCCTCTCCTGCAGCCTATGGACCAGAAAGCTATAGCTAACTTCTGTTTTGTTTTTTGTTTTTTTGAGATCGCATCTCGTTATGCAGTTCAAGCTGGGCTGGAACTCACTTTGTAGCCCAAACTGGCCTCAGGCTCGCACCAATGCTCCTGTCTCAGCCTCCTGGGTGCTGCGGTTACAAGCATGTGCCACCATGCCTGGTAGTTATAGCTAACTTTAAGAAACTATACACTGAGAAGTCTTCCTAAAGTGCTTCTAGATGGTCTCAGATACAGATTTAACCCTTAAAGAGTTCTGGAAGGAACATTACAATATCCTTTCCTGTGTGGGGTTAATTGCAAGTTCGAAAAACCCTGGCCCAATGTCCCTCTAACGACACAGAAATCTGCCTGGAATAAAGCATGACCTAAAACTATAAAGGAGAGAGGCTTCAAAGGCTGTATAGAGGAACCTGAGCCTCCAGTTGACCCTGTGTCACGATAGCAGAGTCACGATAGCAAGTCAGTTGTCACATTCACTTAATGACAATGACATGTCATACTACGGAACAGTGTTAAAGAAAAGACACAGACAACCTTACACCAGTTTTTAGTTCTAAAAGGCTGAGACCTACTGAGCCAGAAGCAGGTTCTAGTGGGCTAAGGATTCCCCCAAGAAAGGACACCAGAGAGCCAGATTCCTGATGTTCCCATGGATGGGGACTCTCCTTCCCAACAACACCCACCTTCCATGTCACCCTCCCTTCCTGCAAGCTACAGATGTCAGCTTAAATATTGAGTACAGTGTGAAATTACTGTTTTGGGTAAACTAGGCACATTCTATAATTTTTTGGTGAATACAATAGGAAAATTGTTGGTTTTTCTCCTAACATACACATACAACCTTTTTTTTATTATGAAAAGATTAGTTATGGGGTGTTTGGTGAGGTTCAGAACACATGATGGGTATTTCCATTATTTCTTATGGGAAAAATAGTCTTGGCTTACAACCGACTTGAGTTACAACCACCCCTCATGAACAAACTGAGTTCATAAGTCAAGGATCCGCTGTACATGTGTTATTTTGATTTACAGCAAAACAAAAATGACTCTTCTTATAGTCGCAATTTGATAATATCTATACTATTCAGTGAAATTAGAGTCACAAGGGCAAGCATGAACAGGTTGAGAGGAGCAATAGCTCCCAAAATGAAGCACCTTCCAGGCCATACTGGAACCCCCGGAGTACGGCTGGGTGTGTGCACCCATGTCTGCTGGCACTAGGTTGGTTCTGCATATTTTACAGAAGGAATTCAGAGCACCTAGTGAGCCATTTAAACTGAGGTTCACTAAAGAGCTTCCACTGTAATTAATCCAAATAATAAAGGAGTAAGCAATAGAAAAGCCTTCCTCTATCCACTCTCGCTCTCCCAGGGATTAGATGGAAGACTGCCACAAAGCACCACACAAGGTCATCCTCCCCAGGCGTCACTCAGTTTGCCTTGAAAAATATGAGCCCTTTTGAGGGAAATCTGCAGAAGGGGATAAATTAGTCCTCTGGAAGGACAGGTCATCTTATATATCCATTGGCTTAATCCACAAGATGAACCAGAAAGGTGGCCAAAGAGATAACAAATCAAAATCTGCCATTTGCAGCATGATGGGCCTGATTTAATTTCAGTAACTAAATTTATTCCATTATTGCCTCCTTCTTTGCATTTTGAGTAACGTCTCAGCACCGTACACATATTTGCTGCAAAACAAAACAAGCAGGCAAGAGCTCAAAACAGCACTGCAGACGCAGCTGTAGCGTCTGCCTAGAAGTCTGCAGCAAAACAGTCTCCAGGTTATCACCTTGCCTGTCTCGGTCAATGGACATTTGAGGTTCTGAGTATTTTGGATTTAATGGTCACAAGATGAAGAAGGGTACACAATCACTTTCTAAATAAGTCAGCCAAATGTCGATCTCTGTGCTGTGTTATTTTGAGCAATCATCTGCAGATACACTGGTCCAGTAAAAGGAATGTGTTTCCAGTTCTCTTACTTTGGACTCAGTGCAGGAGCACCTAGGAAGATGAGTCCGCACCCCAAGCCCAGCGCTTTGCAGCATCTTCTGTGCTGTGCCAACCTTTCCTGATACACAACTGTCACACTTCCTTCATACCTAATCTTAGAAAACCAAGCAAGGCAGAAATTACCCTTTAACATGCTCGGAGCCATTAAATGTTTTTACATTTTGCTACCGGGTAAATGTTTGTAGCCCCTCAAAATTTTTATGTTAGCCGAAGGTGACGGTACATGCCTTGATAACCCAGCACTCAAGAGGGTGAGGCAGGAGGATCACTGCAAGTTCGAGACCAGCCTGGGCTACAATGTGAGCTCAAGGCCAGCCTGAACTGCATAGTGAGACCCTGTCTCAAAAAGATTAAAAAAAAAAAAAAAATTATGTTGAAATCTCAGCCTCCTAAGTGATAGCATTTGGGAGTTCATTAGGTCATGAGGATGGAGCCCACAGAAATGGAGTTGGTGCCTTGTAAAACAGGCTCAAGGACGTTTGTTTATGCCTCCTGCAATGTGAGGACACAGCAAGAAAATACTGTCTGGGAGCCAGGAATCGGGCTCACTCCAGATTCTGAATCGCCCAAGTTTGCTTTTGGACTTCCAGGCTCTAAAACTGGAAAATAAACCTCTGTGGCCTGTAAATCATTCAGCCTAAGACATTCTGCTATACAGACCGGGACACCATCCATGCTATATAGGCAGAGTCAGCCAGAAGGGCAGTCCTCCCAAGGGTCATTTCCCTCAGTTTATGCAAACCATCTCCAAAGGGGTCTCTTTATCAGAAGTCCTTACTGACTACCTGAGGCCACTTTGTTCCTTGGCACTAGTGCCCACAGACAGTGACGCTGGCCCAGACACACAAACGTCTCCTTGGTTGATTCATAAAAAATTCTTGGATTGGAGATACAGCTCAGTGGTAAATTCTTGCCAAGTATGTACAAGATTCTGAAAGGAAGGAAGTTCTTCCCCACTTCCAGGCTACTTGTTCACAACATTGCCTTTGATGCATCTGAACTCTTTATCAAATCAGAAAAATCGGGTTTTTAAAAAACCATCATTATTTGAACACAGAGGAAGCCTGCGATAGTCAGTCCCCTCCTCTCTTCACCCACAGTCTCATTCAGCAGGTTACAGTGCAGAAATCAATAGTGGTAGTTATCCGCGGGGGCGGGGGGAGGGGTGCGGCTCAGCCATAGAGAGCATGCTGAGCATGCGCACAGGCCCCAGTTCGCTCTCCAGCACGCATGCACACGTGCACACATGCGCACACGCACACTGAAGTTATCCGCACTTATACTTTTTAGCCAGAAACGCTGCGGGCACCTCGAATACATCAGATGTCCCTCTTATCTCATTTTTTTAAAATCTGGCTCCAAACTCATCAGACTCACAGCAATGATTTCCGGCCGCCGCTGTGGATGTCTGCTGAGCTGCCCAGTGTGCATCTAACTGGATCCCACCTCTTCCCCAGCCCGCTAAACAGGGGGCCCCAGAGGGGTACCTCGGTGTCAGAACTGTTGCCGTTCAGAGCCTCGATGTTTGGGTCCCTCCAGTCTTCAGAGAGTGAAGGGATGTAATTGTCCGTCAGCGCGTCCCAAACCCTGAAAACAAAGAGAGCTCTCATTAGCGCGCATCTGTGGCCGCCCGCCTGGAGACAGGAAGAGCCGGCCTGCGGGAGAGGCTGCCGAGTGTCGCCTCGGGTCATCTGCCCTCCAGCCCCGAGGCAGAGCTGCTGAGAACCAGAACGCGCGTGCGGGGAGAAAGAGAGGGCACACCGGGCCTGGCCTGGCGCAGCTGGCAAGGGTGTTCGCCCACGGCCCCGAAATCAATCTGTACCCCAAGCAAACAGTCGCGCTGGGAATCTAAGACGTGCCTGCGCTCCTTTCCTAGGGGTAGAGGGGGTGAGCAGAAGAGGGGAAAAGGGGATCTGGGCTGATTTTCTGAATAAATCTCAATAAAAATTAGGGTGGCCATGCAGTTTGCATAGCTTTCCATTTCAATTAACTCCTGAGGTCTGCCCTGGGACAGGGGTGACGCCAGTGCAGTGACTGCTCTCTTATCACCTGGGTGGCACAGTCCTGCCCTCTCCTAGTGAGAATCTGCGCCTGCTGTGACTCCATGGTGGTTACTCTGGCGAACACAAAAGGAATGAAAAACTCACCTCCAGCTGCAGTCTGTTTTTAGTAGGGGAGGGTGAGGCTCCTTTTGTTACATTTTTTTTAAAAATTCTGACAGTACATTAAGCTGCACGTGGTGGCACATATATGTAATCACTGCACTCAGGAGGCTGAGACAGGAGGATCACTGCAAGTTTAAGGCCAGCCTGTACCATATAGTAAGTTCAAGGGCAGTCTGAACTCCATAGTACAATCCTGCCTTAAAAATAAGAAAAGAAGGCCAGGGATTTAGCTCATCTGGGCAGGGGATTTAGCTCAATGGCTCAAGTACTTGCCTGGTAAGTGCAAAGTTGTGACTTTGATCCTTGGTACCAAAAAAAAAAAAAAAAAAAAAAAAAAAAAAAAAAAAAGGAAAATTCTGATAGTACATTATAACAACGTTCTTTTTTAAAAAAATAATTCTTATCACTTGACTATTATTTCAGAAAGATTTCTTTGAGGAAAAAGAGGGAAGGTTGGGAAAACTTCTGAAGTCTCAAACATTTACATATCAGGAAAATACATAAATTAGTCAACGCCAGGAGATGAGTGGAAATCAGTAAATTAAGTTTCTAACAATGTCAGCAACAAAAAACAGTAGCACCTGCATTAATGTTAGGTAAGTCAGATGTGGTGATACGTGCTTATAATCCTAGCACTCTGGGAGGAGGAGGTAGGAGAATCACATTTCAGGCTGGGTAACTTAGTGATTTGGAGCAAGACTCTTGTTTCAAAATACAAAATATTTACTTATGTATTTGTGTGTGCAGTGCCCAGGATTGAACCCAGGGCCTTGAGCATGCAAAGCAAGTGCTTTAACACTGAGCCACATCCCCAGCCTTAAAATATCTTTTTAAAAGGGCTGAGGATATAGCTCAGTGCAAAGGCTTTGGGTTTAATTCCCCATACCACCAAAAATAAGAATAAAAAATAAATAAAAAGAAAGAACAAACTTGTGAGACCAAAATTTAAGAAGACATTGCATTTAGATAAACTAGCCCAGTGCAATAGCCTTTTAAAAATAAGCAAATATGGCCAGGGATTTAGCTCAGTTGACATAAGCGGTGCCTGGCAAGCACAAGGTTGTAAGTTCGATGCCCAGTACCAAAAAAAAAAGCAAATATGTTTCCATAGGGATCAAATTCATGTTGTAAGATAAGTGCAAAATAGATGCAGATATCAGAGAACCAACACTTGGAATCAGATATATAACCATAACATGAGTTATGTAATAAACACACGGGTGCTTTTTTTTTTTTTTTTTGAGGTAGAGTCTCACTATGTAGACTAGGTTGGGCTTGAACTCACTATGTAGCTTAGACTGTCCTCAAACTCACAGCATCTTCCTGCCTCAGCCTCCAGAGTGTTAGGTATACAGGCGTGTGCCACCAACCCACTTCACAGGTGCTATTAACATAAAATCAGGAATGAACAGCATATGATGTAGAAGGAATACATGTGCACCATGCATGCAATGGAAGATGAAACCAAATCAAAAAACATAATTTGCTGGCAGTGCTTGAAGCACTTGCTTGTTTGCTATTTTTCCACCACAAAAAAACACTTTTGAGAGAACTCAAGTGCTCATGACACAACTTAGCAGCAGGATGTCAGAGCCCACTTCTCAAACCCTGGGTGAGAACCCATTAGGCACTGTAAGAGCTACCTCATTCCAGGATAATTCTAAATCCAAGTCCCATTAGCGCACTGCAGCCAAGAGGTAAACTCAATTTCCTGAAGGCACCACACCCACTGGAGAGGCCGTGGGGCTCCTCAGCTCTGCTGTAATGCACTCTGCTCTGAGGAGGAACAAACCTCCAGGAACTGAGCTGCAGATTTGTCCCTGCAGGAGGTGCCTGGAGAAGACAGATTCAGCAAAGCTCAAAGTAGGCAGGAATCTTTTGTATCTTCCCTACCCCAGGTGGGGCAGAAGCTGGGAGCTTAATAGATTGTCCACTGACCAGTGACCTTGAGGCTGCAGTATCCTTAAAGTAGCAACTGGGAACTCAGCCATCCAGGAGTGCCTGTTTCTCTCCTCTGACTCTTGACTGACACTCTTTGGAATTTATCTCCTAATTCTAAATCCTAGACACTTCCCTAAACCTTTATTTCCATGGAATTTCAAACTATCTTCATTTCTTCTTTCTTCTTTTTGGATATACATTTTATCCTTTAAAGTTTATAAATGACCTTTAAGACAAGCTGCTGTCTCCTCTGTGTAATTGCTGCATTCCAACCCTACCTATTCCATTTCCACTCAACCACCACAGTGCAGCCCACGCCCACTGAGCACTCACTAGGGGTCGAGTGCCATCTAAGCTCTGCATGCTAGCTGATGTGTTCGCTCCTCACCACAACTCTACAAAGCAGACATCTCAAGAGGAACACTTAAGACACAGTGAAATTAATTACCTGTCTAAGGTCACATAGCGAGTAGTAGGATTTGAACCAGGGCCTCCCAGCAACAGAGCCCATACTCTCACCACTTAACAATTTCAAGTCTTTATGATTTACCTGATGACCGACACTGATACAAGGATCATAATGATGTACCAAGATCCAAATCACAGCCTACATCAGCTGGCCCTGCATGCAAACCCACACCAACATTACGTGGACTTTGTGTTTTCATCAGTCTGCTTGAGAAGTGGCAGGGCAGAAGGTGTGTGACAGCTTCCAGTCTGGGTCCCCAGTGCCTGGGAGGCAGAGGCAGGACCCCAGCAGGCAGCCAGTCACAGGGACAGAGGAGCCAGCAGCAGGAGTGGAAGACAAAGCTCTCTGTAAGGAAGAGAACCAGAAGGGCTCAAGGGGTGGACTGTAGCACTTCGCTTCTCATGGCTGGGGGGTGCAGCTCAGATAGGAAGCACTCATTGAAGATGGGCATGGTCCTGGGTTTCATCCCTAGGACTGAAACAATGTTTTAAACTCCACTTCTCCAAGAATTAGTATGCTATTTACATTTCCTCTTACCTTAGAGAAAGAAGACGCTGTGAGCCATCCACACTATCATTTAACAGAGATAGCTAAACAGCTCACCTTGGCCCTTACCACTGTGTCACCGTGACACTGAGATTCTGTTTGCTATCCTGGACCTCACAATAGCAAAAAACGCTTTTTATGTTCCTAGTTTACAGCGTGGGCTCAGGCACCTGTAAAGTTGACTAAACTATGGTTTCCCACAGAGGGCAGGCATTTGGAAAAGGATGCTGGCAGGGATGAGCAAAGCCAGGAGAGGGGGTTGTGCCAACCCAACTATGTTCAAAAGGCTGCAGGGCCTGAGACCTGCCACATGGCCACCTGGGTCCCATCAGCCCTGACAAATAAATACATACACACAAGCAACCTCACACATACCTATGAGCCCATTTCTGACAATATGGTAAGCGGCTTAAGAGGCTAATTAAAATTTCTTCCCAGGTACATTTCCCTTAATTCCCCCCTTGGCAACTACTTGCCTTGTTCAGGGCTTTGTTTATATCCAGTCATAAAAAATACTCGCACTTAAATATGTTAACATGAATATGATTTTGCAGTTCATGTGGAGGGATTAGGAATTATTGCAAATGCCTTTGCACAACTTTTAAAATTCTTCCAAATGTTTAAATAGAATCAACACCACCTGACTATATTAATGTTTTTGGATCATTGAACACAGCTGTTTGCAGTCTCTCTGTTTGAATGTTCACTTTGTATTCTTTGATACTGTGATTTGAGCAACTATTTCCAAGATGATAATATGTAATCTATTAGCAGGTGATTTCTTACTATTATGTTTTTTTTTTTTGTAGTTCTGTATTACGTGTACCCTTACACCACTTTGTTTTGTTTTGTGTTTTTCTCTTTTTCCTCTTAAATAAAATTAAAAAAAAAAGTTACTATTAAAAAAAAAAAAAAAAAAAAAAAAAAACTCTGCCTTCTATATGAGGAAACAAACTGCTAAGAAAACCTCTTATCGACAACTTTGATAACCATTGTTGATAACCTTGTACTCTGTTCTACATCATGTGCTATGTCTATCCTTGGTTTTGAGTGACAGCTTTGTTTTCCATATTTGACTATATTCTCTCCCCCCCCCAAAAGTAATAAGAACTAGGAGTAATAAAATCCAAAATGTGTAAATTTTGTTGTAAAAAAGAGAAGGAAAAAAAAAGAGCTCTATGGATATAACAGCAATTGTGTTTAGGGGTGTTAAATAGCTGACTATATTAATGTTTTTGGATCATTGAACACAGCTGTTTGCAGTCTCTCTGTTTGAATGTTCACTTTGTATTCTTTGATACTGTGATTTGAGCAACTATTTCCAAGATGATAATATGTAATCTATTAGCAGGTGATTTCTTACTATTATGTTTTTTTTTTTTGTAGTTCTGTATTACGTGTACCCTTACACCACTTTGTTTTGTTTTGTGTTTTTCTCTTTTTCCTCTTAAATAAAATTAAAAAAAAAAGTTACTATTAAAAAAAAAAAAAAAAAAAAAGAAAACCTCTTATCAATCAGCTTTCACCCTCTGACTATTAAATACAGTGTTTCCTTGTCCCCAATTTAAAGAATATCTGACGAGTGCTTTAAACTCCACTTTTCCAAGTGCCGATTGCCATGGTGGCTCTTGCTTGTAATCCCAGCACTCAGGAGGCTGAGGCAGGAGGACTGCTGCAACTTCAAGATCCGTCAGGCTATGTAGTGAGTTCAAGGCCAGTCTGAACTACATAGTGAGACTCTATCTCAAAAAACAAAACAACAACAACAACCAAGTATATCTGATGACAGGAAGTTTACTGATTGTGTGGACTTTATACTTAACCCATTTTTATCCCAGGCAATCGTTCCCACATGTGTGGCTCCTCTGTGTGAAGGGTACTGGTAACAGCAGAGAAGGATCCCAGGAAGGAGGAAGTGGAGTGAGGGTTGTTGTTAGGTTTGTATCTAGCTGTCCCCTCAAAGACTCACTGTCAAAGGTGGGGCTTTTTCAGAATTGCTGCTCTAGAGTGTTTGATGCTGGGATTAAGGGTGATACTAAATCAGGGCACTGATTGGTTTGACATTGCTCTAATCCCAGTAGCCTAGATACAATACAAAAGGGACAGATGTTGACAGGCCCCTTGCTTGCTTACTTTTGCTGCCTTCTCCCTGCCATGAACTGTTTCTCCTTTGCAGTGCCCCTCTGCCATGCCACCCTGCCTCGGAGCCTGCCTAGTATGGACTGAAAGCTATGCAAACTGTGAGCCAAATAAGCCTTTCCTCTTTAACTTTGGGTATCGGATATTTGTCTCAACATCAAGAAAAGTAACTAAGACAGTTGTCCATTCCCATTTGGTAGCAGCTGTAGAGGTCTGAAATATCAGGTCCCATCTCTTCCAGAGAAGGGGAAGGATGCTCACACATACACACAAAGATTCTGAAGTAGTTTCTGAATTTAAAACCAGAAAACATACACAGCATTCAAATCTGACTCTTGTTGAAGGCCTAAAACTTCCATGCTCTGACAATGAAAAGATAAACTGACATCCCAACTTACTGGCCATATAATTCCAAATGAGAGTTAAAGAAATCAAAATTTAGCTAGGCATGGTGGCATACACCTGTAATTCCAGCACTCAGGAGGCTTTGGCAGGAGGACTGCCACAAGTTCAAGGCCAGCCTCGGCTATATGATATTATCATAAAGAAAGAAAGAAAGAAAGAAAGAAAGAAAGAAAGAAAGAAAGAAAGAAAGAAAGAAAGAGCAAGCAAGCTATTCAAAACTTCTAAGGAAGTCATTGCATCTGTTTTATGATGTGTGCCAGCTTTGAGGAGCTTAGTTTAATCAAGAAGTTTGGCTTCTGTTTCTTAGCTCTAATCCCACCCAGAGGGACATGGTAATGCACACCTGTGATCCCAACACTTAGGAGGCTGAGGCAGGAGGATTGCCATGAGTTCAAGGTCAGCCTGGGATATACAACAAGTTCAGGGCTAGCCTGGACTACATGGTGAGACCATGTGTGAAAAAATACATAAATACATAAAAACCCTACTGGAAACATTTTCAACTCATTTGTAGATGAAACAGTCTTCTAAATACCAAACCCGACCAGGCTTAGCACTGTAACACTAGAAGAGATTTGCAACCAGATTAGACAACATGTCATTCTTTTCCTCTGCTTGGTCATGATTTCACAGTGGAAATAGCCAGGTAGTGGCTGTAAACCCAAGTGTGTAGTGTAATTCTGATGTTCAGTTTAAGTTGAAAAGAGTTTTCAACTTAGAGTTACTGAATGCCTAGGAAGCACAGTGCCATTTTTTTTCCCTCCTTGTCCCCTGTCCCCACTTTATCTCTAAGGAATTATTTACCCTGCGGCCTCTTAGCTGCGGTCAGTGAAGCAGTCAAGTCAGGAAAACCAGGCTGGGCAGACCCATACACAGTCCCGTGTGATGGCAGTTAACATCGAGTGGCCGCTGCTGAGGAGGTGGAGGAGAGGATGGACCTGCTACCAGGTCTTCATTCTCCATGAGGCAGAGGCAGGGCTCAGACAGGGGTTAAGTGATTCGTCACATAGAAAGGGATGCATCTTAAAATGTCATTTTCAGACCACATCCCAGGCAAGGGAAGATAATGAAGCTCTTTGCAAGTCCTTAGCCCTGCTTCATGGAGACTGAGCTCTGCAGGTTCCAAGATAAGAACCCACACGGCCACTAGCGTTAAGTGACTTGCCCAAGGTCACACAGTGCATTGGTGAGAGTACAAAAATTAGAATCCATATTCTTTGTGTTTCCAGTTCATAGCTTGATGCACTGGAATGAAAAAAGATTCCATGTAACAAAGCCCCACAGCCATAATTGCCTGACTCACAGAAATTGAACAAATTCTAACAGGCTCAGAATTTAAAAAGAACCAGCGGGAAACTTGAATTGAATTGAAACACATAGCCCGCAGAGGTAGCACCGGTCACCATTAATTAAAAAGCACAGGAGGAAATGGTGCAGACCTAGAAATACACTGCCTGGACCTGCAAAGCCAGCTACTACCACTCATTCTCTATTCAGTGTTTCATTCAAAAATGCTATTTACCTACGACACAACAAATGGGGACAGTAACAGTGAATAAGATACACACTTCCCTCTCCCAGAGATGCAGGCTAGCAATCAAATAAGCAGCTCATTTCTAAATGCTGTCAGGAGTGTCCACAACTCTGGTCCCCTTATTTAAGAGCAACTCTTCCCAATCAAGTTCATAGAAAGAGAAACCAGTCTGGGGGTGGGGTTCAGTGAAAGAACATTTGTCTAGCATGCACCAGATCTTGGGTCAATTCCCCAGCATGGCAAAAACAAACCAATTAAATTAAAAGAAAGCACAGCTACTCCAAACTCCCATGAGCACCTAGTTGACATGCAATGTTTCCTAAGAATTGGTGTGTATAAGGGGCTAGGGATTTAGCTCAGCAGCATAAGCGCCTGCCTTGCAAGCAGGCAGTCGTGGGTTCGATCACTGGTACTGATAAAAAGGAAAAACACAAAAAAAAAAATTAAAAAAAAAAGAATTGGTGTGTATTGTGCTAGCTCTATCAGGAACATGCATATTTTTCTAAATGCCTAAAACACCTGTAATTGATGTTAATAGATGCTCTTTTTCCCTTTCTAGTCCCTCCTTGAATAGTACTTTTTTCTGATTCCTTTTCCTTACTAACTGCTAAGACCTTGGAAGTTTGCCAGTAAGTGACCCAGAGAATCCGCACACAGTTTTTGACTGTGTGACTCAGATCCCTGTTTATTTTGTCCTGGGTCATTCCCTGGACTCTCAGTTAAGCTTGGGTGCTTTATTATTTGCACATATCTTAATACTGAGGATAATTTTCCAAGACTACAAACAATTTTAAGATTTTCATAACTCTGGTACTTCCTGAGGCAAATAGGTCCAATAATAGATTCTTCTATCATTGTTTTCTGGTACTGGTTTCTAATATTTGAGTTGATTACCACTGACATAAAGACAACTGCCTTGCATGGTGACACACCCTGTAATCCCAGGATTCAGGAGGCTGAGGCAAGAGGACTGAACATTCAAGGCCACCTCAGTCTTCATAGCCTGGACTACGTAGCAAGACTCTGGCTCAAAACAAGATAAGAAAGTAGCATGACTGTAAATTTTTCTTTTTCCTTTTTATCTTTGATTTTTATGAGACAGAGTCTCACTGTGTAGTCCAGGCTGGCCTCAGATTTATGGCGCTCCTCCTGCCTCAGCCTCTCAAGTGTTGGGCAAGTCTTAAGCTAAGAAAACTTTCTGTAGGTATCTCCCTGAAAAGGGACATAGAAATATGTCACAGGTCACCAGAGCATTGCCCCACGGGCAGCATAAAAATTAAATAAAGTGCCATGTAAATCCACAGACAACAATTAGCCTTAGGTCAAAGAGCCCAGGCTACAGGGCTCTCATCTGACGCTGGAGAGGACAAATAAGACTTCTTACTCCTCATCCTGCAGGGTCTCCTCCTCCTCCTGGATCTGTAACTGGTTCTTCACGGGAGCCAGGTTCTCTGTCTTGGCATTGTAATTCCGAAAGCAGACATTGAGCTTCTCATCAAATTCGTTCACGAGGTCCTCCATGGACTTGAAGCTGATAATTTCAGAAGAGAAATTCTCCAGCTCAGAGAGGGAGGGGTCCTCCAGATGGTGGGGCGATGAGCCATAGAGACAGCGGGGCTTCTCCTCCGGGTCCTCGGAGCAGCAGGGCCGAAGGTCCTCAAACTCTTCGTCCAGACTCACCAGGGGGGCCTCCATCCTTGCAGCACAACGGAAACTTCCAGAATCCGTTTCCCTGTAAGAAATAAGCAAAGCAATGTGAGTTCGCCCTGGGCATTTGTACCAGTCCTGCAGGGAGCCAGGATCACATATTGCATTATCTACATCCATTCAAAAGCAACAGATTCCACTTCCCTGGCATCTGTAGTTTCTGTGCTCCCCCACTACTGTGTGCACAAAGACTTCTCAGATCACTGAGTGTGTTAACTATATACATTAATAACTAAACCACGGGAACTTTGAGATACACCTGATTCCAGTTACCTGCTCCACAAAACAAAGCACAGTGGTTACACACACATGCAGCTCCTGCTCAAATCTGCATTCTCCTCGGAGCCCCTACCAGCTGGGACCTGAGGCAAGTTCCTTAATTTCTCTATGCTTTCTTTTATTCTTCTCATGACAGCAGTAATAACAGGTTCAATCTAAAAGGGTCTTTATAAGATTAAAGGAGTAAACACACACATACACACACACACACAAACTGTGCCTAGTAGATAATAAATACCAAGACTGAGCTGAGATATAGTTCAGTCAAGTATGTGCGAAGCCTGGGGTTCAGTTCCTAGGGCCACAGAAGACATAAATAAATAAATGCCAATGCAGTTCGACACTCTCTGTTATTATTATTATCATAGGTCTTCATCTCCACCAACAGGCTCCAAAACTGCAAGGTTGTCATAACTCAGTTGGCAAAAACAAACGAACAAAAAACTGACCGAGCTGGTTATGGTTTTAATTTATCCTATTTCCTCTTTCAATGCAAAAGTATTAAAATTTTAAGTTATAAAGGTGGTTGGGGGCTGCTCATTGTTAGAGCATAAATTTTACATTCATGAGGCCCTGGGTTCAATCCCCCCAGCATGAAGTAAATTCATAGTTATCCCAGGCCCAGGGGATGAAAAGCAGAATATGCATTCTGTTACTGCCTTTCCCAATTTGAAATAATCTAAATTCTGGAATATATCAGACCCTGAGGGTTTGGATAAGGTACTGTGGACCTGGATATTAGTCACTTTTTTTAGTTGGGGGGAATTGTTTGTTTTACATGCCACTAGAGACTGAACCCAGGGCCTCTGGCCTGAGCTACATTCCCCACCCTTTTTCTGTCTTCAGCGTGACACAGTATCTTGCCAAGTTGCCCAGCCTGGGCTCAAACTTGTGATCCTTCTTTTGCCTTAGCCTCCCCGATGGGATTATAGGTATGCATTCCCAACCCCAGGTATTTGTTTTCTGAGACAGGGTCTCACCATGTAGTCCAGGCTAAATTTGAACTAGTTAAGTATCTCAGGCTGGCCTCAAACTCCCAGTCCTCCAACCTCAACTTCCTGAGTACAGGGATGGGGGGTGGTGAGACAGGGTCTCAAAAAACAAAAACAAACAAACACTATATAGCCCAGGCTGGTCTCCAACTAGCAGCAATCCTCCTGCCTCAGCCTCCAAAGCACTGCAATTACAGGTATGTAGCACCATGCCCAGCTTGAGTGCTGGGACTATTAGTGTATGTCACTATGCCTGGCTATTTTTACTTAATTATTTATTTCTAGCAGCGCTAAGAACTGAATGCATTCTAGGCATGTGCTCTACCACCTAGCTACACCTCATTAATAAATAAGAACTCCCCTCATTAATAAATAATAGAAACTAGTAAAACATTAATAGAGATTTCCTACCAGATGCCAGACACAGTGACATTTGTTTACTGTAGCCTTAACCATCTGGGAAGCTAAAGCAGGAGAATCCCTTCAGCCTAGAAGCTCCAGGCCAGCCTGGGTAATACCAAGAACCTTTAAAAAAAAATGAAAATGAAAATAAAAATAAAAATAGCCAGGCATCGTAGTACACACCTGTAACTCCAGAACTCTGGGATGCTGAGGCAGGAGGATCACAAACTCTAGTCCAGCCGAGTCAATTTAGCAACTTATCGAAGCTCTGTCTCAAAATAAAAACTAAAGAAAGGTCAGGGATACAGAAGGCCTTGAGTTTAACTGCCAGTACCATGAACACACACACACAAAAGACTTTCTTTTTTTTTTCCTACCACTGCTGAGATGAGAAAACTTTCCAACAGGAACTACATCTTACCCAGATACAGAGCACATGACCAAGAAGACAGTATCGCACTAAATTACCTATTTTCCTATGACCCTGTAAGAAGCAGACCCAGTTGCCCACGTGCTCCTAGCCAGCCCTGTGCCCATCGTGGGCACTGCGCCAGGGGACTCTGTACGCTCAGGGCTCCCTCTATGACCCACTCCAGGTCCACCCCTCATGGACTTCCCCCATACTGCCTGAAGCTGTGGGAAAGATCCCTTCCCAATTTTGATTTGAATTCCTTCAGGGCACAGACGTCCTCTGGATATTCTCCCTGGCTCCTAGCACAGACAGCGGAGCAGCTAGGCAATCAATCCGTGTGTGCTCACCAAAAACTGATTCTCTGTCCTCCACATACAGTTTCCCCCAGGCATCATGGCTGATCATACCCTTCCCTCAACCTCCTTCCTCAGGACACGGAAAGAAGCCCAGTTTTCCTCTCCTAGTTTGCATAGATAGCGCTGATCCAGCTAGATGCTAACATTGGAAACATAGCCTTAGGAGAAGGAAACAGACAGCAAAACGCAGGGTTTGCCCTAGTAGTACCTAGCCCTGGACTCTATCTGCAAACTCTAAACTAGTGGCAGCTGACCTGTGGTGTACCTGCTGACTGTGTCACTGAAAGTTCTAAAAGGTTTGCCATCACTTGGCCTAAGCTGTAAGCCAGGTGGGATGTCGCCCCGAGGAGGGCTGGTGAGTACATCCTTATTGGGCTTTTGCTGGGATAAAGTCAGTGACCAATAGCATCAGAATAGATTCTGAGCACTTAATTTGCAAAGGCAATGTAACAGGACCTTGGACAAAACGAGAGGAAAGCAGTACCATTTATGCGAAAGAACCCAGGTTTGAAAGCCAACAGACCAGTCTGGGGTGTAGTTTAGTAGTAGAGTGATTTCCTAGCACGGGTGAAACCTAAATTTAATCCCTAGCACTATGAAAACTACAAACACCCAACAGACCTGCCACTGATTGGCTGACTAAGGATTCCTAATTTCCTCCTTTGTTATAATGAAGGTGTTCACATAGATTTAATCTTTTATAAATTAACTTCAGTAACTTTAATTGTAGCAATATATTTTCATAATTTTACTTAATCCAGTATACCCAAAATACTACCATTTCAAAACACTATCCACATGTAAAATGTTAATGAGGGAATTTACATATTTAATTTTTTTGACAGTAGTAGGGATTGAACTCAGGCCTGTGCACTGAACTATATTCCCAGCCCATGTTTCATTAAAGTTCCCAGGCTTGACTCCAACTTGCCATCTTCCTGCCTCATCCTTCCAAAATGCTGGGATTACAGGCATGTGCCACCCAATTCTACTGAAATCTTTTACATTTTTATACTGCGTCCTTTAAAACCCGGTGTGGTGGCATATGCCTGTAATCCTAGCACTCGGGAGGCTGAGGCAGTAGGATTGCGCTGTGAGTTCAAGGCTAGCCCAGGCTGCATATGAGTTTAAAGCCAGCCTGAACTACATAGCAAGACCTTGTCTTGGGCTGGGGATTTAGTTCAGCGGCATAAGCACCTGCCTTGCAAGTGTGTGAAGTGTGTGGTTGTGAGTTCAATTCCTGGTACCGATAAAAAAGAAAAAGACAAAAAAAAAAAAACTTGTCTCAAAAAAAAAAAAAAACAAACAAACAAAAAAGAAAGAAAGAAAAGAAAAACAAACACACAAAAAAGAAAAAAATCCAAAGTGCACTTTACATTACAATCTCTCTCTGTGAACTGGTCCCCTCTCAAGTGCCCAACAGCTACACCTAGCTGGTAGCAACCACAGGGCACTGCACAGATCTATAGCAATGAGCCACTACAGCCAGTTGGGCTCTTTATTCATGGTCCAGCAATCTTCACAGGCTCTTTGGCTATCCCTGTATTTCAGTGAAATGGGCTTTCTTTCTAAATCTAAATATTTCATTTTATGGGTTTTTGAAAACCACTATTCAGAGAAGAATCCCATAGGTCTCTGCACCACCAAAATAGGTGGTCACAGCACAAAAATAGAGAAAGAAACAGGGGACAGGAGGGGAAATGTTGTAGGAGTTGGAATTGTCCCTGAGCACCAAAAAGGTGAGTTTAGATAAGAAGTCAAAGTACAGCAGTCAGTAGGGAGGGTTTCAGCACCAGAGGAAGTCCAGTAATTGAGGACTACAAGCCCAGCTTCCAGGTTTCTGCCCTGGTGCTACAGCTCCTAGCTGTGAGGCCCTGAGCAAATCATGTCCTCACCTATAAATGGGGCTTAAAAGGGCGGCTGACCTGGAAGGTTATTTTGTGGACTTAATGAGTTTATCTTTGAAGTGCTGGCACAATATGTGGATTACAGAAAATGTCCAGTAAATGTTGGCAATGCTAGGAAAATCAAGGCAGCGTATTTACATAGAAGCGTGACAAGAGTTTTCCAAGAAAAAAACATTCTTGCCATGGTAGTCTATGTCTGATGCTGCAAAACGATGATCATATGGATGAAGTATTGCTGCAAGCATCTAAGTTCTTTTTGTTTTGTTTTGTTTTTGACTCATTTGGCCAAAGTTTCCTAGGTCACTGGTCCTATTCCAGAGAGATTTGTAGGCTCACCAGCTAGAGTCGCAAGCATTTACATCTTCTTTTAACTCCTCTGCAGCAGTGACAGGGGAGCTGGAATGAGAAGGGGACACTAACAGTGGTGCTGATTTAAAATGGTATGGTCTAATATGGGGATGGCGAACCTTTTAGAGACTGAGTGCCCAAACTGCAACACAAAATGCACTAACTTATCGCAAAGTGCTAACACTGTCACAGAATCTGATTACTGGGGTTTTAGCTTAGAAAGCACGTGCTCACCTTCAGAGGTGGCTCAGCTTGCCTGCCAACAGAGATGGTTCTGCCTGCCCACTGTGGCACCCATGCCATAGGTTTGCCACCACTGGATATCATTTACCAGTGACAAGGGCCAAACCAGTCAAAACCTCAGAGTAGAACTGAAGTTTTGTTTTGTTTTGGTAATGGAAATGGAACTCAGGACCCTGCATTTGCCAGCCAGGTGCTGTGCTGCTGGGCTATGCCCCTGGCCCAAGACAGAGTATTTAATATTGGCAACAGAAGATTATGCTGAAAATGCCTATTTTCAGACTATCAGGTTCTAAGGGAAACATACTCATCTAGATTATAAAAGAAGAAATGAATGCCAAGATCTGGAGCTGAACATGGTGATGTACACCTGTAATCCCAGCACTTAGGAGGCTGAGGCAGGATGATTACTAAAAATTTGAGGCCAGCCTAGCTTACATAGTGAGTTCAAGGTGGCTTTCACTACATAGCAAGACTGTCTCAAGCAATCAATCAATGAATGTTGATAATGGAAACAGGAGCTGGACCTAATGCTCATATGCTACAATCCCAGCACTGAGGAGGCAGAGACAGTAAGATCATCATGAACTCCAGCCCGGGCTGCACAGTGAGTTCAAGGCCCGACTGAACTACATATTGAAATCCTGTCGGGAAAAAAAAAAAAAAAGAGACCAGAAACATGGCTATGTGAAATAATTCATAATATAACTGATTGCTTTTATTTATTTTCTTGTTGTCGTTGTGGTTTGGAAAAAGTGTCTTGCTGTGCGGTTCAGGCTGGCCTTGAATACAGATATTACATCCACCACCACACCTGGCTCCAATTGCTTTTCATCAGCTCACTACTTAGGAGCCAAGAAGTGCTGAATGAATGACCACTGAGATTAAGCTAAAATTGAAAGCCAAAACTAAGAGTCTGAAGTCACTGAGCACCCAGTGCAAACCTCCATTTGTAGAAAGATCCCAGGCTGCAGTAGAGGACACAGAGTCAGGCACTCTGACTGGCCTCACCATTCTCTCAAGAACAGGGCTCTGGGTTTGGCTTGGCATAGCTCTGGCAAGGTGCCTGCTACCTTCTTCAGCTCTTGTTTTTTGGCTCCTCTTTAGCTGGGATGACTTCATCCCCCAACTATAATATCTGAAACAAGCCTCTATTCTTCCATCCTGGCAAGCTATCTGAGCCGTCCTTTAAAAGGTAGGGCTAAGGGATGGGAGTATAGCTCAGTGGTAGAGAGCTTGCTTTGCACGCTCAAGGGCCTAGGTTTCATCTTCGGAGCCCAAAACAAAGAAAGCTAGAGTTAATACAAGTAACAATGGTCGACTTTCTACTTCCCAAAATAAACACATGCGTGAAAAATGGCAGAAAGAGATATCATGGGAGGGTCTTCTTTTTTTTCTCCATGGTAGAACACAGTGCAGGGCTATAATTGTCCTATAATTAATTCCCTCTCTTTCTCTCTCTCTCTCTCTCTCTCTCTCTCTCTCTCTCTCTCTCTCTCTCTCTCTCGTTCTCCTGTTCTCCCTTTCTCTTTCTTTTTGTTTCCCAGTAGATGATGTAATTTGGAAAAGAAAGGCAGGCTCAGAGCTTAACAGAGACCCACTGGGAAACACAGAAGCCTCCCCCTGCAGCGTAACGATGCACAAGCTGCAGCTTTAGGGCTGCAGTCAGAATTGCCAGTCCCAGCTCTGCCGTGCTGAGCAGCCTGAGTGGGCAGCACAGACCTCTCAGTGCACAGAGAGCTCCATTCACCTTCCCTTCTTCCTGTTATACTCCATTGATTCCATGCGCCTCACCCCGATCCATCCCTAAAATCTGCCCTCCTCTGATCCACCCTTCAGATTCTCATGGCTCCCCAGCCAACAGAGTTTCGCCAGCCGCACATTTTGGCAGAAAGAGAGTATTTCATTGCCCACGAATCATCTACCGTCTCGGTGGCGCTGCGCCCCTTCCCCCTCCCGCTGCGGCTCCATTCACCTCCATCTCGGATCCCTTCTCCCCCACGCCGACGGGGTAAAGAAAGGCTCTTCGGGCAGCACAATGGCTGGTGCCCGGAGGAAGCCAAGCTCTGCCAATGGTTTCAAGGGCTGCACAGGTACCCCAGTGCCCTTCTGCACAAAAAGAATAGGACGCTGGAGCGCACTGTGGGTCCCTGCTGTGGAGGGGCGAGGAAGGCAGGGAAGGCAGCAAGGAAGCGGTGCGGGTTGTGTAACAGATCCTCGGGCCCAGAGGACGGCGCGCAGCCCCGCACCGACCCAGCGCCGCGCGCGTCCTTCCCCCGACCCGCGCTGTAGTACAACAATCGCGCCCCGCGCGCGGCCAGCAGTTCTGACTCTGCAGGAACGCACGGTCTCGGAACCGCTGCACGCCCCGGGGAGGGGCGAGCCCGGCAGAGGTCAGCTTCTCAGGGACAAAGATGACTCCGGGGCGTCAATTAGCCCCGCTAACGGTCCTGGAAGGAAGAAACGGCCCGCACTGTTCTGCCACCGTCCAGCGCCATCCCCTGGCTCCCCTAGACCCCATACCACTCCTTCTCCTTTTGCACACCTGCACACACTTGCACACACACACACACACACACACACACACACACACACGCCAGGCCTGGCAGGGGGCCGACGTTCTAGGACGATGCTGGCAATGCCCGTCATCCTACCTCTCCCGGCCCCAGCTGCGCTCCCAAAACTGCTGGACAGGAAGGCGACGGCCTCCGGGTTTTCCCTCGCCAATCCCGGCGCCCCCAGCTCGTCCCGTCGAGAGTCCCGAGTCCGGGGCCTCCTTCCCTACCCCCACGTTCCCGCCTCGGTTCGCGTGTCCGGTCCAGGCTAAGGTCGGTCCCCTCGACGGCACCTGTGTGGGTCCTGGCAGAAGGAGGCGGATCCCGGGGCTCAGCCGGACAACCCCCATCCACAGCCCAGCGGCCGGAGCGCAGCGCGGCGGCAGCGGCGAGCAGAGCCAGCCAGCCTGCGAGCGCGCTCCCCGCAGCTCCGGCGGCGCCCGCTCCGCGCCTCCACCGCCCTCCGCGCGCCCGGCCCGGGGCCCGCGCCCGCGCCCGCGCCCGCCCGCCTGGCACGCGCGAGCGCCCGGACGTCATCCTCGCGTGAACAGGCATGGCCTCCTCCGAGCACGTGGGCCTACTGCTATTAATATTTATGAATTACTGTTTCTGGGCTCTTCAGCAGAGCCCCTTCTGCTTCCCTCATGAATATTCAGGAACGCTGAGATGCGTGCGTGCCTTAACTGCCAATGTGGACACCTCCGGGGGCCTGACGCCCCATGACCCCCGTGGAAAGCCCAGGCGGATGGAGCAGGAGGGCGCCCGCCAGCACACAGCACCCTCCGGCCGCTCACCGGCTCGCTGAGTGGGAAGGCCAGGAAATCTTCGCACCCCAGTCGGCCTCCAGCCAAGGTAAAGAAGGCCGTGGGAACGCTTTGTCACCAAAAGACGCAGGAGGAGAGCTGGAAGCAGGCTAAGAAATCTGAGTGCCAGAGCTTGAGGCCCTGGAAACTATGAGATAGTGGAGAAATCAAAAACTGTGCGTGTGCCAACGCCCCGTCAATGTGATCATTATGTACTGTGATCATTGTAGTAGTATAAATTTTTAAAAGAAAAAGAGGGCTGGGGATTTAGCTCAGCGGCACTTTCATCGCTCCTGGACACAGACAACGAAGAGAGAGGCAAAAAAGTAGGCACAGGAAAAGTGTGTCTCTTGGCGAATCCAAGGATTTTCTCTGATGGCAAAGGACAGTACCTGCTGCTGAACTGACTGTCCAGAGCGTGTAAAACAGAGGGATGCTGACCCCCGAGATAATAAGTTAGGCAACTTGTCTTTCTGGTGGAACTGACCAGAGGATTTTTTGCTAGAGGAAAGAAAGTGGGTAGTTAAATATCCTATGCCTATCTTCCTGGAACTGTCCCCACTTCTGTGACCTTGGAAAAATTCTCCTCCCTGTAGTCATTTCCTCACCTGGATAACAATAGATCCACTCCAGCTGTTGTGAGATTGAAGGAGTTTAAGTGTGTGAAGTATTTCGGGGTGCCTAGGAAGGTACTCTATTAATCTTGGCTAATTCTCCTCCGATAGAGGCCAGGGATACTGTATTAGAGGCCAGCTTTTGTCCAGATCTTCAGAGTGTGGAGCGCAGGCTTGAGAGAGAGTTGTGAGGAAATGCTGGAAATGATGCACACCTCAGTCTCTGAGAAAGCTCAGGTTTAAACCCCTGTGTTCCACTTATGAGCTGGTGATCTGGTACAAATTACCCTTCCTAAGCTGGGTCATCCTATCTGTGAAGTGTGTATTCCAGTATCTACTCTGAGGTTGTTATGCAGGTTAAATAATATAAAGCATACAAGTTGCTTAGCCTAGTGCCTGGAATATCAGACGTATTCCATAAGTGAATTATGTTCCTCTTAATATTTTTGTGAGAATATGAAAGATCTAGAAGCTGAGAACTGGGCGGGTAGGTACGTGGGCAGAGAATCCTCTAAATGTGAGCCAAGTAGTTCTACATATACACACACATATATATTTCCCCCAAATAAATATATTTCCACCATCAAGAAAAGAAAAACTTGTATAAATATTTTAATATTAAATGTACTGAGACATCATGAGATTAATTCGTTACCTTTGGCATCTCCAATTACAAGGGGTGCTCCAAGTGGTGGCTGTCAGCTTCTAGACACTTATTAGTACGGTGAACTGCTGAAATGTACATACATTTTTGGCAGACTGTACATATGTGTATATATTACCATTTTAATTAGCCTTAAGGGTACAATTCAGTATTAAGGACATTCAGATTGTTATGTAGCCATCACACCTACAGAACTATCAGTTGCAAGACTTTTTCATCATCCCAAACAGAAAATATGTACTTTTAAACAATAGCAGCAAACATGGGGCTGGGGATTTAGCTCAGCGGCACAAGCACCTGCCTTGCAAGCAGGCAGTTGGGAGTTTGATCCCGATAAAAAGGAAAAAGAAAAAAAAAATAGCAGCAAACAAACAAACAAAAACCCGGTAACAGCTTATGACTCCTTCCCACCAGAGCCTGGTAGACACTGTTCTATTTTCTGTCTGAATTCCATATTCTAAGTACTCTATATGAGTGGAATCATAAGGCCTTTTTGAAAGTGGTTTATTTCATTTACATATTTTCTGAATATCATCAGAATTTCACTCCTTTTAGAGGTTCAGTAATATTCCATTGTGTGTGATTTATCTATAAATCTGTCTTATTTTTTGTCACTGAGACACAATACCTGATACTCTCCACTCTAACAAAGAAAAATTTATTTTGGCTCAGTTTGAAGAAATCTCAGTCCATAGTCAGCTGGCTCCAAGGCAGAGCAGCATGGCAGAGGATGATTGCTCATAGCATGGCAGACAGGAAGCAGAGAAAGGCAGGTCAAAGAAGAAAGGAGAGAGAGATACCCTTCTGGGCCCCGCCCTCGTTGACCCACCTCCACCAATCACATGACCCACCGCCACCAATCACATGTAGCTATAAATTCATCAATGGACCAATCAACTTCTGAGCATCAAGTCCCAGTAAACAAATTACTCCCTTAAAGCCCCATCTATGAAGTCTTTGAGGAGTCATCTAGATGAAACCATAACACCATCTAGGTTACATTTTCTTTCTTTTTTTTTTTTTTTTTTTTTTTTTTTTGCCTTTTTCCTTTTTATCGGTACCGGGGATCGAACTCACGACTGCCTGCTTGCAAGGCAGGTGCTTATGCCGCTGAGCTAAACCTCCAGCCCCAACGTTACATTTTCTTTATCCAATCATCTCTCAGTGGATATTTGAATTGTTTCTACTTTTTGGGTATTGCAAATGATGCTACTGTAAACATTAGGATATGGAGCCCAGAAAGTGTTTGATCACATCCTACCACCCAGGCTAGCAACTAGGAAGGTAAATTCAAGACATGCCTTCAAAAGGCACAGGATGAAGGGGCTGGGGATTTAGCTCAGCAGCATAAGCGCCTGCCTTGCAAGCACGAGATCGTGTGTTCGATATCTGGTACCGATAAAAAAAAAAAAAGGCACAGGGTGTAGTGTGTTGATTTCTAAACCCTGCTCAACTTGGAACTTGTAGTGGGTTGAGTGTACCCCTCAAAATTCATGTTGACTCAGCATCTGAGTGTATGAATTCTGCAGATATAATTAATTAAGATAGAGAGGGCCCCGTTTATTAACCTGATTTGAACCCCAGTATTGCTCTCCCCATCTTGTTATGTCTGATTATACTATATTCTATTTTGTTTGATAGTATCAAGTTTGAGGATATAGGCAACCACTTTGAAGGCAATAAGATATACTATGATGCCCATTATGGTTTGATTATTATCTTTTTTTGAAGTCCTGTAAGGTCTCCAGTGTAGGTTTTATTGGTCTTGTTCTGTACTGTTTTTTTGTTTGTTTGGTTGGTTGGTTGTTTTTTTTTTTTTTTTTTTTTTTTTTTTGGTGCATCTCCTTTCTGAAGTTCTGTACTGTTTTGATGAATTCTATTATAGCTGATGATATAGGCAATTCAATTTAAAAATAGCAAGAGGCATAATGGTAACCACTTTTGATCACCTGGTATTCTACTTTTGAATCATGTACTATGCCCATCCTTCTGGTCTAACTGACTCTGTTTTGCTTAGTCACATTTGGTTTTATTCTCTTCAAAAAAAGTAATAAGAACTGTGGGAATAATAAAACCCAAAAAGTGTAATTGTTATTGTAAACAAGAGAGGAAAGGAAGGTGGACTAAGGGATATAACCGCGTGTATGTTTGAGTGTGTAGGATGGAAAACCCTATTACTGAGCTTTTGCTGGATCATTGAACGGAACTGTCTCCAAACTCACTGTATGAATGTCCACTTTATATACTTTAACTTATAATTTGGACAACTGTTTCTAAGAAGACAATATGTAACCTATTAACTAGTGATTTCTTACTGTATATTTTTTTCTTGAAATTCTGTATTACTTTTACCCTTTTACTGCTTTGTTTTTTTATGTCCTTTCTTTTTTTCTCTTTAAATTAAAAAAAAAGATAGAGAGGGCTCCTAATCCAATGCTGGGTGTCACTTCCTAAGCAACAGAAAACAAATCAATTTCTTCACTCTTTCAAACAAAAGTCTCAAGAAATTTGAAGCTGCTCATTATAATCCCCTTGTATCATCTGCCCCGCCCCGCAGGTCAGACAGTCCCTCTTCACTGTTACTCATTTGATGTGGTTTTTGGACAATTTCAGGATTCTGTTGTCCTCCTCCGTTAAACTCTAAATTTTTAACTCCCCTTATAAATGCAACACCTAGAAACAAAGTAATTCCCAACATGAGGACTGATTAATGCCTATTAGAGGCTATACTTCTCCCTTCTCATGAAGCAGTTACTCCTGTATTTCATTCATCAAAGTGGCTTTTTAAATTTATTTCCCTTTCCACCAACATATCCCATATTTTGAAAGATCCTTCTATTAACCTGCGGGGTGGGGAGGGGTGGGGTTGAGAGGCAGTACTGGAAGTTGAATCCAGGGCTTTTGCAGAGAGGTACATTCCCTGGTTTTTTAATTTCTTTAAATTTTGAAACAGAGTTTTATAAATTGCTGAGTTGTCCAGTCTGAGCTCAAACTTGCAATCCTCCTGCCTCAGTCTCCCAGAATGCTGGGATGATAGACATATACCACCACTTTTTAAACTACTTTTAAAACTACTTTTTAAACTACTTTTTCTTTTCTTGGCTTTTGGAGACAATGTCTTGCCATGCAGTTCAGTTGGGCCTTGAGCTTGCTGTGTAGCCTAGACTGGCTTCAAACTCAGCAATTCTCCTGCCTCTGCCTCCTGAATGCTGGGATTACAGACATGCATCACCATATGGGTTTAAACTACATTTTTTAAAAACAATAATATTTTCTCCTAAGATTTAAATAACATAAAAACACTAAAATTCATGTATTTCCAAGGAAAATATACTCCTATGGCCTCACTACAAGTTAATATGTCATTATTAATAATACTTTTTTTGGCTTTGTTTTGTTTT